GGACTTCATCTTTTCAAAAGCTCTAGGCTAACATTAGACCAAGCAGTACAGATATTACTGCAATCATACAAATACACACACTCAAGTATAACTACTCTGATTAATATGAAACAGAACAAACCAAATAATTATATCGAAGATATGAAGATCAAGATGGTGTGGCCTTTTGTGAGGTCGCGGTCTCCTTTCGTTTTATAGAAGTTGTTTGACCTTGTTTTCGCAACCTGGTCATATTGGTTGGAAGACTTAGAGGAACGCACCTAGTCCGGAGTCCATTGTATGCATGATCATTTCCAAAGTCAGACCGTGGGCATGGTATACTCCCAGGCGTTTCGCCGGTATAGTCAGTGAATCTTGCCATTCTTAGCACCATACTACAACTCGTCCTTTGACCAAATGTGTGCTAAACAACTGTGGTATCTCTTCTTCTTTCTTGTGCTATTCATCTTTCCTATATCCTCGTATCACGCCTTCAAAATCACAATTTTACCTTGCTTATTTAAATGTAGCCTGGTGTGCCCTTTCAAGCGGCCTTCCACGCTGGTGTTCTCACCCCCTTCACCCTTGTGCTGGGAATGTCGATCAGAGTCTGCCATATTGTTACGCAGTCTTCCATCCCTAGGACTTAACCCTCTTGTCCCGTAGGATCTGTCTGCTATCTCCCTGGTTAAAGTATTTCACTCGACCCCTGCCACCTCATTTGTGCTACTCGAGGCGTTATTTCCCACACTGCATGTGGAAAACTAACTCGAGGCTAAAGCCTCTGAGTAAGTCTCATTGTCAAGCCTTTGTTACATGGACCATGTCTCTGGTAGAACCTACTGTCAGCCAACTAGCTCCAGTCTCCGCCGCGTCTATCCTGTTTCTATCCCTAATACCCTGTCTATGACTTGCTATGACCTAGTCTCTTATGCGCCAAACCACAAACGTTGTGGTACAACATTGAACCTAATCAAAGCAAGCAGTACCATAACATTTGTGGGTTTGCACACAAGCGACTAGGGCATAAGAATTCATAGACTTGGTATTAGGGATAGAAACAGGATAGACGCTGCGGAAACTGGAGCTAGTTGTCACACTGTAGGTTTTACTAGAGACGTGGTGCATGTAGCAAAGGCTTGATCATGAAACTTTCTCAGAAGCTTTAGCCTCGAATTAGTCACCCAGACGCAGGGGAGGGCGAATAACGCCTCGAGTGGCACAAATGGGGTGGCAGGGTCGAGTGAAATATGTGAACCAGGAAGAGGGCAGACGGATATTACGGGGCAAGAGAGAGACTGTGACAATATCGCAGACTCTGATCAACATTCCCAGCACAAGGGTGAAGGGGGTGAGAACGCCAGTGTGGAGTGTGAACGGTTTTCATAAATGCCACTCAAAGGAGCACGGCACACTAGATCGAAATAAGCACTTTACAAAATTGTAAAAGCGAATGTATGATAAAATGATATAGGAAACGTGAATAGCCCAAGGCAGAAGGAGAGATACCAGAATAGTTTAGCACACGTTTGGACAAAGCATCGTCTTTACTGGTCTCTTTTGACGAGTTGTCGTATGGCGCTAAGAATTGCAAGACTCACTGACAATGCCGGCACGTCCACTGTCCGAATCTGGAAATGATCATGCATACAATGGACTCCGGGCTAGGTGCGTTCCTCCATGTCGTCCTTATAATATGACTAAGTTGCGAAAACAAGGTCAAACAGCAACTAAACATGTTTATGAGATGTATTCATCCTTTTTCGTTTAAGGTGATAAATGACTGGAAATAGAATTTACCCACATTAATATGAGTAGAGCTGGCGCTTCCATTCAACTATACATAGCCTTGCTTTCCCAAAAGTTGTTCTCATCCAGACTGGATTGAAGTTTCGACTGCCAATCCTTCATCACCTTAAACGAAATAGCGTGAATACATCTTAAATTACTCATTTACTGATAGTATCGAAATTCTACTTACATACGAAAAATAAAAACGTTTAACCTAGAAATAAGCAGACCCACCTTGAACTATCGGAATTTGATCAACCGGTCTCTTCTCAACGGTGAGAGGATTACATTCACTGGTATCGTCTTTGATTTTCAAACTACTATCGTCCAGATGTCCCGAATCTGACTGTTCTCCTCTGATATCATAGTCTTCGGCTGCTGCTGCAGTGCCCTGCTCTCCATCACGATCGACAGCTTCAATCGTGGCAGAAGCAATTAACCGTCTTGAGCTATGCTCAGTACTTTCATGGGAAGAAGAGATTTGTTCGCTGCTCTCCTGCCCAACAAGAAGAGCCTCTGCCACACGAGCCTCGATGCTAGACTGCTCAAGGGCTGGCAAATTGGGCTCCTTCGTGTCCATCTTTTGCTTTGCATCTGCGAAGCACAGTTTCTTTCGTTCATTAGTGTCTGCATGATCAATGCGCTGAGCAGTCTCGTCGCAGCGCCCACTAATTTCATCATCTGATTTTCCCAAAGGATAAAAGGATAAATAAATAATAAAGACACTACCTTCTGGAAAGTTATCCTTACTTTAGACTGAATAACTGTGATTTTTTTGGTCCTACGCCAATCAACTTACAATTAATATTGTCATAAAACAAACCGGAATTGAATAGAAAATATTAAAAGCTAAAATAAACTTAATTCAGATATCAGCAGAGCATATATTGATACCCCTCCGAAAAAGAGTATATTTTCAGTTGTCCACAAGCCCAGTTAGCTAGTTTTCAAACAGGATACACAGAGGGGCTGTCTTACATAAGTATTACTCACTAATACATAAAATGCATTCGAGACTATCAAAAGACTCTGAATAAGAGAAACACTCAGCTTAGATCACAAAATTTAAGGAAGGACTGATATGTGAATTTTTCCATAATGATATGAGTAAGCTCTATGATGTCATTTAATTTCGTTTGGCCTTCCTTCCAAGAAGATATTCTCGTGCAGTGGATTAGAGCTTCTACCTGGCAAGAAGATTGAACCCGGATATTACAGTTCATCTTTTCAACCTTTTACTGCCACTCCAGAGAGATACGGGTGCCGAAGGGTCACAGGGCGGACGAGAGTTTCATGTCAAGTCAGTCCTCTCCTAAACTACAATTATAATGGCATTGTTGATGGTAGTTAAATTAAATGTAAAGTAAGTAAAAGTTTTGACAAAATTTTAAGACAT